ATCAGCGAAGGTCAGTACCAGTTTTATGGCTTTATTAAAAACTGTTGGGTCCCTCCCATTTTTAACTTGACTGATGGGATGTCACTCCTTACGGTGTCTGACATTTGCCTCTGGCCTGGTTGCTAGAAGTTTGCCCCAGGGGCCAGAGTTGAAATTTGGCTTCCCAAAGTGGGCTTTGTGGTTTGGGTGCCTAAAGTGAGGCCACTGCTGGTTGCCTGTCCGTGGCCAAAACCAGAAATCCCCCTGAGCACTACCTGAGTCTCATTCCAAGAAGGAAGGGGGTCAGGAGATCTGGGGAGTCCCATACTCCAAGCTCTCCTTTCTTTCTGGGAGCAGTGGGCAGGTCATGGTGTCAGGGCACTCACCCCCACAGACTGGCAAAGCCTGCAGAACCTCTGTGGCTGAGTCTGTGACCGGAGGCCAGGAATGCTGCTGGGTGGAATGTGAGTGAATGGGCCCTTTCAGCTGCCCTCTAGAGAGTGAATCCAGTTTCCCGGAGTTCCTGAATGAACATCTGTCCTGGCTCACTCAGACGCAGAAGCTCCATTGACCATGAGGCCTTGTGAACATTAGTGGCCACAGGCCCAGTGTGCTGCCTGGCACTGCACTGGTTTAGGACCCACAGCATGTACATAGCGTCCTGCTGTTTATAATACAAAGCTGCTTTGCACAGCTTTTCTGATTCTTCTTGTAATCTCCTGAGGATTATCTGCCCCATTTTTAAAACGAGGTAGAATACCCAAGGTCATGTAGCCAGTGAATGCTCTGGAAAACCAAAGCAGCTCACCCCTTCCTGAAGACCACACTCTGCAGTGCTCCACCAGACCATACTATGAAATAGGAATAAATGCTCCTGTCGCAGGACTGCTGGGAAAACGGGTGGGGCGGGACTTGACTCAAATCATAATTTTGAAGACTTGTACACACAGGGCTCCTGGAATTGTAGAAATTAAAGAATTTCACTTTCGGTTCTACCCACTAAAGTACTTGTCACGTACTTTTAGAGGAGGCCACTAATAATCAGAACCATTTCACTTTAATATCGATATATTGTATTAGTGAATATATTAAATGGTTACATTGGGTTATGTTAGGATATATACTTGGATGGAAATATGTGTTGTACTATTAGCAATTATGTCGTATTTCATTTATCCCTGTCATTAAAAAATCAGACAAGAAAGCATAATATAGCTCTACTCTTGGGCACACACACGTACCAGTGTATAAGATTTTTAGAAGTTTGCTTTTTTTTGTGTTAGACAGTCTCCCTTTGTTGCCCAGGCTGGAGTGCAGTGGCGTGGTCTCAGCTCCACCGCCTCCTGGGTTGAAGCGATTCTTCTGCCTCAGCCTCCCAAGTAGCTGGGACTACAGGCGCACATCACCATGCCCAACTAATTTTTGTATTTTTAGTAGAGATGGGGTTTCACCATACTGGCCAGGCTGGTCTTGAACTCCTGACCTTGTGATCCACCCACCTCAGCCTCCCAAAGTGTTGGAATTACAGGTGAGAGCCACCGCACCTGGCCTAGAAGTTTACTTTTGAAAAATAATAGCAAAATGTAAGATCTTGGAGTTATGATCATGAAGTCTATCTGATAGGGAGATTTACTCTTTACTATTCAGCATTGTTGCATTTTTAAAATTCTTCATTGTAGGATTCTGCATTAGAGGCTGGGCACGGTGGGTCATGCCTGTAATCCTAGCACTTTGGGAGGCCAAGACAGCTGGCTCACCCGAGGTCAGGAGTTTGAGACCAGCCTGACCAACATGGAGAAACCCCATCTCTACTAAAAATAACAAAATTAGCCGGGCGTGATGGTGCATGCCTATAATCCCACCTACTCAGGAGACTGAGGCAGGAGAATCACTTGAACCCAGGAGGTGGAGGTTGTACTGAGCCGAGATTATGCCATTGTGCTTCAGCCTGGGCAACAAGAGCGAAACTCCGTATCAAAAGAAAAAAAAAATTGCATTGTTCTATAAAAGAGCATTCTGCCTGGTGGATGCCCTGAAACCATGCTCTGCTCGCTGCTCCCAGCATGTAAGTCAACAATTCTAGGTACCCCTGGGTGCTACAATCCATGAAGCAGGACAAGATAAACTCATTCTAGGCACGGTGGCACACCTGTAGTTCCAGCTGCTTGGGAGGCTGAGGTAAGAGGATTGCTTGAGCCAGGGAGTTCGAAGTCTGCCTAGACAACATGGTGAGACCTCATCTCTAAAAAAGTTTTTTTTTATTTTTTAATAAAATAGATCATTACGGAGAATACTGTTACTACTGTTGCCTTAAGCTGAATTCCATTAAGCCCATCAGTGTTCCCTCTCCCTGAACTGCTCCTGTTGATTAGATCAGGGGTATGCATGTGATACTTAAATGTATAATGGGATATACCTGAGGTCAAGAGTTTGAGACCAGCCTGGCCAACATGATGAAACCCTGTCTCTACTAAAAATACAAAAATCAACCAGGCCTGGCGGCGCATGCCTGTAGTCCCAGCTATGTGGGAGGCTGAAGCAAGATAATCACTTGATCCTGGGAGGCAGAGGTTGCAGTGAGCCGAAATTGCACCACTGCCCTCCAGCCTGGGTGACAGAGCGAGACTGTCTCAAAAAAAAAAAAAAGTATACTGTGATGTATAAATGGTTGACCCATGAAGGAATGCAGCCTCCTCACCTTTGAACAGAACCTAACAGAAGACTTGTGTGGATGTGTGAGGCCTGGAGCTGGTACCATAAAGGGCACTTGAGGATGAAGCAGCCAGCTGTTCTTGCCACCACTCCTGGCAACTATATACTGTCCAGCTGAAGGAGGACAAAGAAAAAAGGAGGGAAGAGCAACATGAGCCCATAGTTCTGGTGCTACAACTTCTAGCTCAAACTGCTCCTAAAACTTACCACATTGATGAATCGTTTTACGCTATGGAGCCCACTAAGTATAGGTTTGGCTTAAGCCTATTTGAGTGTTTTCTGCTACTTGGAATATTAATAAAAGATTCCTGTTATCCATGTTGTGATAAATAAGCTTTATAGTTTCCTTGTGCTTCATAAGCTGCTGGGTACTAGCTGTCTACCTTTTGAGCCTCAACCCTGCAGTCTATTCTGAATTAAAGATACGGCATCTGAGGCTGGGTGCAGTGGCTCACTCCTGTGATCCCAGCACTTTGGGAGGCTGAGGTGAGTGGATCACATGAGGTCAGGGGTTCGAGACCAGCCTGGCCACCATGGTGAAACCCCGTCTCTACTAAAAATACAAAAATTAGCTGGGCACAGTGGTGCACGCCTGTAGTCCCAGCTACTCAGGAGGTTGAGGCAAGAGAATCGCTTGAGGCTAGGAGGCAGAGGTTGCAGTGAGCCAAGATCGTGCCACTGCACTCCAGCCTGGGCAACAGAGCAAGACTCCATCTCATAAATAAATAAATAAGGCATTTGGACTTTTTCTCATGGCCAGTGCTCACAGGTTTCCTGGGCACATGCCAACTACACATTCCAGGATCCAGGAGAGAGGCCTATGTCTGCTCCTTGAGCCCAGCTGCTGGGAATGACCCAAGCAAGATGAGACTCTGGGATATCAACACATTCTATCTTCAAAAGAATGTCTATAACAGCCAGTTCACCAGGATGTTCCACAGCATTGCCTAAGCCCTCCTAAATTCTGTATTCCAGTGAACCACATGATTCTGCAGGCATCCTTTTTGATCATTTATTCATTGGCTCACTGCTCCCCCTGCTTTCTTACTTCAATCTAACAACACAGCTTGTTTCTTCTTCAAGGGGAAACAGCGTCTGCAGCCATGCTTCTAGTATACTATTCTCAGCCCTGCAGAGGAGCTCCCTCATTTTCGGCCCCCACCACCTCCCCAACACCTACTCCAGCATTCTCCATACCTTACCTGGCTTTATTTTCTTACCCTCACTGCCTGACAAATGTTCTATGCTTGTTCATGTTGTTGCTCCTCCACTGGACCGTAAACTCTATTGGGCCAGGACTCCATCTCTCTCAATCACTAGAGCAAGCTTGTCCAACCCACCCATGGCCCAGGATCGCTTTGGATGTGCCCCAACACAAATACATAAACTTTCTTAAAACATTATGAGATTTTCTTTTTGCAATTTTTAAAAACTCATCAGCTATATCATTAGTGTATTTTATGTGTGGCCCAAGACAATTCTTCCAGTGTGGCCCAGGTAAGGCAAAAGATTGGACACCCCTGCACCAATGTCTGGCTCGTTATAGGTGTGTTAAATCCATTGGCCGTGCATGGAGGCTCACGCCTGTAATCCCAACACTTTGGGAAGCCAAGGTGGGAACCACTTGAGTTCAGGAGTTCCAGACCATCCTAGGTCACACAGTGAGACCTAGTCTTTACAAAAAATACAAAAGTTAGCAATTTTGCACAAGGATACCCAGTTGTTGAGGGGTACAGCCATGAAGTGAAGTCTCCCAAGCCATGTGCCATAGATTAAATTGGGCAGAATCCCCTGCTGTAGCCACAGGCTGTAATGGGGAACACTTAAAACAATAATGAATTTGCAAGTGTTTTTGCAAACTTCAAATGCCACCATCCTGACTGGCCGGCCTTCCTTCCTTCCTTCTTCCTTCCTTCCCCTCTCTCTCTTTCTTTCTTTCTGATGGAGTCTTGCTCTGTTATCCAGGCTGAAGTGCAGTGGTACAATCTCAGCTCACTGCAACGTCCGCCTCCCAGGTTCAAGCGATTCTCCTGCCTCAGCCTCCCAAGTAGCTGTGACTACAGGCTCCTGTCACCATGCCCAGCTAATTTTTGTATTTTTAGTAGAGACAGGGTTTCACTATGTTGACCAGCTTGGTCTTGAACTCCTGATCTCAAGTGATCCACCTACCTCAGCCTCCCAAAGTGCTGGGATTACAGGCATCAGCCACTGTGCCTGGCTTCTGGCCATTATTTACTGGACTTCTCCATGTGCCAGGTGCTTAGTGCATACTGTTACAGTAAAGTCTCAGAACAACTCTTCGAAGGACGTATTTTTTCAGGATTTCCAATTTATAGGTGAGAAAATGGGCTCAGAGAGAAGTCATTTGCTCAAGAATGTCTGGGCCACTTGGCATCATCAACTCTGCAGTAGGTGACAGGCTCCGCTTGGGGCCAACCTGGAAAGGCCGGAGCTTGTCCAGGTGAGTTCTTGTGATTGGCAGCCTGGAGGAGGGTGGGGAGGGCTGTGGTGACAGCTGCCCTGCCCCCTTGCGTTGGGCCTCCCAGCCTTGCCTGCCGCCTGAGCTCCAGCCGCCACCTCAGTCGCTGAAATTCAAATCCTGGTAATTTGATTAAAGAAAATCAGAATCTGGAGCATCAGTGGAGTAACATCTATGCAATCTCCTAAAGATGAACACTCAGGGTCTCTAATCTGCCCCTCCCCAAATATCCCTGGGGTGAACGTCTCTGTATTTGTGCCTTCACAGAGCTGAATAAGAACATGTTTGGGATATGACCCTAGGAATAGAATTACGAAGTCAAAGGGTCTTGGATACTTTGCTGTACTTGAGGATTCACATCTGCCCCAGGTATGTCTGGCTCCTCCCCCTCCCTTTCCTGGGATAGGCCCACACCACCATGAAGGACCCATACTGCCCCTCCTGGGAGCTGGGATTGGAGCCCACCACTGTGTCTGGAGTCACTGAAGAGAAGGAACATCCTCCTCGACTGAGGGTTTAAGACCAAAATAGCCTATGCCCACTCCCATATTTGCTCTTGCCTTGTTTACAGAAAGCCAGAACCCCATGGAATGTGAGGATTGCACAATAAAGTCATCAAGAATGTCTGGGCCACGTGGTGTCAAGGTGAAATCACTCAAGGGTCAAGACCCCCTCTTGGGGCTCGCCTTGGGGCCCTGAGGAGTCTGTCTGAGGCCCTGCAGCCAGGCCTGAGTCTTCTGGTCCCTTCACTTCTCTAGGCTATCTCTCCCACAGGTCTGCAGGGAGTATCAGATGACAACATACTGTGACTTGTAAACCATAAAGTACTAGACATAAGTGAGGAGATATCATTATATTATAGATCCAAGAGTTGACAATCTCGGGGGTCAGAAGTCAGCTGCTGGGGGCTAAGCCCATATAGATAAAATTGGCCCATCCCTGCAAATATAAGCAGTTGGTAAGAGCTAAGTTCAAATCCTGGCTCTATTTACAGCCAATTCTGTAATTTTGGGACCTTAGGCCAACAGACTAACTGACTTTACCTCAGTCTCCTTAACTGTAAAATGGGACTAATAATGGTATATACTTCATTGCTAAAAGATCACAAGACACTTTGCAACAAATTTGGAAAACAGTTTGCCAGTTCCTCAAAAGGTTAAACAGTTACCATATGACCCAGAAATTCCACTCCTCCGCATCTATCCAAGAGAAATAACATAGGCCCACACAAAAGCTTGTACCTGAATGGTCAGAGCAGCATTATTCATAATGGCTAAAAACTGGAAACCCATGAATGAACATCACTGATGAATGGATAAACATAATCTGGTCTAGTCCTAACTCCCAGGAGGGGCAGTATGAGTCTTTCAAGTCCATGTGGGCCTATCCCAGGAACGGGAGGGTAGGAGCCAGACATACCTGGGGCAGATGTGAATCCAGAAGCACTGATACATGCTACACTGTGGATGAACCTTGAAGATGACAAAGAGAACAGAGTCCAGACATAAAAGGCCATATATTGTATAATTCCATTTATATGAAATACCCAGAAAAGGCAAATCTATAGAAACAGCAGATTAGTGGTTGCCAGGGATTGGGGGAACAAGGATGCAGAGTGACTGCTAATTGGTAGGAGTTTCTTTTGGGGGGTGATGAAAATGTTCTAAAATTAGAGTATTGTGATGGTTGCACAACTCTGTAAATATGCTAAAAATCACTGTACACTTTAAACGTGAATGTATGGTATGTTAATTATGTTCCATAAAACTGCTGGGAAAAAGATTCCAGGAGAAAGTAGGTAGAGCTTCGGGCAGTGAGTGGCTCAGTAAACGCTGATTATTATTAATGATTAGGTCTCACGAGATAATTTAAGGCCCCAGAAGCAGTGAGTGCGATGGGACTGCCAAACTTCTGGCTCAGGCTGGGCCTTTAAGCCTCTCTGCGTCCCTGAACTCACCTGGGTCTTCTCAAAGTTCCTCATAAATGAATGAGCGAAACAATCCCCACCCACGTCCGTGGGGTCTCGCGAGGAGCGGGGCTGAGGAGGCAAATGAAGAATCCATAGAGGAAGCCCTGGGCCTCCGGCTCATGCTCTGCAGTGAGGTGACAGGCCCGGCTTTGGGCCAACCCGGAAAGGCCGGAGCTCGTCCAGGTGAGTTCTTGTGATTGGCAGCCCGGAGGAGGGCGGGGACGGCTGTGGTGACGGCTGCCCCGCCCCCTCACGTCGGGCCTGTCGGCGCCCGCCGGGGTAAGGTGGGCGGGGCCCGGGGTCTGCGGCGCCCATTGGGCATGGGGGGAGAGCTCCCGGGAGGGCCTGGAGCCCCGCCCCCGTCCATGCGGCGGCCAATAGGCTCGGCGCGTGGGCGGGGCGTCGGTGGCGGCCGGGCGGCTGAGGTGGCCGCTGGGGCTCAGGCGGCGGGTGCGGCCGGGATGGCGAAGAGCAACGGAGAGAATGGGCCGCGCGCGCCCGCGGCCGGGGAAAGCCTGTCGGGAACCCGGGAAAGCCTGGCCCAGGGCCCCGACGCCGCAACCACCGATGAACTCAGCTCTCTCGGGTCCGACTCCGAGGCGAACGGCTTCGCTGAGCGCCGCATCGATAAGTTCGGCTTCATCGTGGGCTCGCAGGGCGCCGAGGGCGCGTGAGTAGCGCCGGGGGTCGGGACCAAGCGCGGTACCCACGAGGGGGGGCGTCGACGCGGAAGGAGACGCCCTCGGAACTCGCCGACACGTCCCCCTCCCAAGCAGGGACCACCAATCCCCCTTCCCTCCTCTGCCCCACCCCCACAACCCCTGCCTTTCCAGACCCGCCCCCTTCGCCGTCCTACTTCCGACCCAGGGGCGGACGGGCCCACACCTCCACCCCGCCACCTCCACCCTCCAGACAGACTGACCCGCCCCCAGAAGGGTCAGTGCCCTCCTCCCAGCCGTGGGACAGAACGACAGACACTGCCCCAAACCCACCCCTGCCACAAAGGCCTTAGGGATGATTGTCTCTGCCATCCCGACAGGCTCGCAGATGGCTGCCCCCCACTCCCGTCCGTAGACACGTATTCCCCAACCCTTCCCCTCCCACAAACGCCCTTGTCTCCCCACCCCACTGCCCCACACCAAGAGACCTCAGACCGACTTCAGGACTGACTGCCCTGCTCCCACCCCGTCCCAGGACAGACTGACCCTTTCCTCGAGGCAGACAGACCTCTGGATGGACTGACACTGGTCACTTCCCTCCCACACAGCCCCAACCTGGGAAAGACAGTCTCTTCTCCTCATGGAAGGGTCAGAGAATGGCCCCTACCCCCTCATACACAGCTTCCTCCACTGGCACTGGCAACAGGTGGGCAGGTACTCCCCCTTCTGGGCAGAGCACCTACTGGGCAACAGCACCCCACTATCAGGACAGACAGTCAGCTCCAGCAGCCACAGGAGCCAGTTGTGGGCTCTGTGCATGTCCTGGGGACATGCGCCTCCTCCCAAAGGGAGATCTTGGGCATGGGAGGGGGGCAGGCAGGGAGACAACAGCGTTCCTGTTCATATAGCACCGCCAGATGCCCTATCCGGAGAGCACCCAGGCACCCAGCTGGCAGACAGAGAAATGTGGGGCCGTGGAACAGCACCTTCCCTCCATGCTGGGCCACACGTTGCCCCACAGAACCCCCCGAGCCCAGGCCTCAAAGATAAAGCGTACGGGATGGCGGGCCCCTCAGGAAAGATGGACTCCACACCCCACTCCCATCCCAGCTGTACTGTCACTTGAGATCAGTGTTGTGCGCAGAACTGACAAGGCTCCCTCCTGATGTGTGCTTTCCATCCCAGTCACCAGTAGGAGCTTCTGGGACCCTGCCATGACCCTACTCCAGAGGATGTCCTTTCTCCCTTTTTCTGACCATTTGAGATAGTCCAAGGTCACCCCAGACTCTCTCATGATTTATGGAAGCGCTTTCACTGTCTAAGAACACCGATCACTTCCGGGATTTTCCCCAGCCACAGAGCCTCTTATTCACCTGGACTCTTTCTCCCTTGGAGAAATCCAGGCCCCTCCCCTCAGGGGAGTTCCCTGTTAACCACTGGCTCTGTCTCCTCTAAGCTTAGTCCAGGCCTTAGAGAGAGGGCGCCCCTCATTCTGAACCATCACCCTGACTGATGCTTCGTCACAGTTCCCCAGGGATTCGCTTGTGAGAACTTAGTGGGGACCTGGAGTGTTTTGAATTGAGGAGCAGTCACCAGGGATTAGGGCCCAGGGAGGGGTGTGGTCTTGAGATCTGGGAAAGGAGTTCCCAGTTGCATTTATGGGACCTTGGAAGGAAGAGCTCAGATTTGTCAGAGAATGCTACGGCATGAGAATTCCTACTACATGCTTCTCAGGCAGTCAACCAGATCTTGGGGTGAAGAGCAAATCGATATATTAGGAAAAAGCCAGACTTAGGAATTACACTTGCTAGCTTCATGACCTTGGGCAAGATCCTGAATCCCTGAGCCTGTTTACTCACTGTTAAGGACAACAGTAACTCCCACTTCCCAACGTTACTTTGGGGGTTAAGTGAGATCAGATATGTGAAAGTGCCTAGCACAGCGCTTGACACAAATAGTGGCCCAGAAAATGTTAGTTTTCTTTCTTTCCTTCTAAGGGTCTGAGAAATGAAGAGAAAAATGAGGGCATATCTCTGGTATTTGTGGGCAGAGTGAGGCTCCAGTGGAAGCACCTCCCTTTGGCCGTAGTCACCGTCCAGGCAGCCAGACATCTGTCTTCCCCACCCCACAACCACAAACACGGGGTGTGGCTCTGCAGACACCCTCTACGTCACTGCTGTCTGTAGGTGTGGGGCTGAGGTGGGATCCCAGGTCCACTCCTCTCTCCTCCTTCCCTCACTTTCTGGAGCCTGTCAGTCAACCCAAAATCTCTGGTATCTGAAAGCTTCAAAGTTCCCTACTTAGTTTATATTGTGGTTTCAAAAAAGCCAAGAGTAAGTCCCTGCCCAAGGCCATAGAGGGGAAGTTATGAGAAGTTTCAGGGTGACCACCCTGAACCCAGTCTCGTGGTTGAAGGCTAGGAGTCCATGTTCTATGCTAGAGAAGTGAAACATTAGCACTCATTGGTAGTGTGGAGATTGGTGGGGACTCTGATCCCAGATTAAAAGTCCATTTCAGCTACCCTGGGCCAAAGGTTGTCTCAAGACAGTTGGGTTGTGGAAGTTGCCAGGCCTAGGGGTAAGAAAGCAAGCAGGTCATAGGTCACCTCACTCAGGTGACTATTAGCTACATGGCATGAGGAGATCAAAAAATCATAGACTGCACTGTAAAGGATCTTTTTTTTTTTTGAAATGGAGTTTCTTGTCACCCAGGCTGGGGTGCAATGGTGTGATCTTGGCTCACTGCAACCTCTGCCTCCCGGTTCAAGTGATTTTCTGTCAGCCTCCTGAGTAGCTGGGATTGCAGGCACCCGACACCATGCCCATCTAATTTTTTGAATTTTTAGTGGAGATGGGGTTTCATTGGCCAGGCTGGTCTTGAACTCCTGACCTCAGGCAATCCGCCTACCTTGGCCTCCCAAAGTGCTAGGTTTATAGGCGTGAGCCACCATGCCCAGCCTATAAGGGATCTTAATAGATTGACCAGCTTAGCCATTACGTATACAGATGAGGAAACTGAGGCCTAGAGAGAAGAATAACTTGCTTAAGATCACAGCATATTAGTGGCAGAAGTAGGACCTGAACTTAGGTTTTCTGACCCCCAGGTCAGTATAGCTTCCACTGGCTTCACTGTTCATAAATACAGCCTTTGGCCTCTGTAGGACATCAGGTGTCAGACAGGTAGAACAGAAGGGTCTTAGCAGTCACCTGCCTGCTCTTACCTTCCCTGGCTTAGCCCAGCACTTTGGACTCTCTCAGCAGTATATGAGGCTAATAGAAGTGGCTCAGAAAGATAAGAGTATGTTGCCATTTCCAGTTCATTAGACTGATCAGCTTCAGGACTGGGAAGAGGCTCATTCATCTTTTTCTCTTTAGGCCTGCAGTGGACTAATTAATACTTATTTACTGGGAGACATTTCAAGTCAGGAAGCCGAAAATGGCAGGACATGGTGGCTCACACCTATAATCCCAGCAGTTTGGGAGGTTGAAGCGGGTGGATTGCTTGAGTTCAGGAGTTTGAGACCAGCCTGGGCAACACGGCGAAACTCCGTCTCTACAAAAAAATACAAAAAATTAGCTGGGCATTGTGGTGGGCACCTGTAATCCCAGCTACTCGGGAGGCTGAGAGGTGGGAGGATCACTTGAACCCGCGAGGTGGAGGTTGTAGGAAGCCAAGATTGCGCCACTGTGCTTCATCCAGCTCTTTTTTGAGACAGAACATGACCCAGTCTCAAAAAGAAAAAAAAGGCTGGACGTAGTGTCTCACACCTATAATTCCAGCATTTGTGGAGGCTTAGGTGGGATGGGAGGATTGCTTGAGCCCAGGAGTTCGAGACCAGCCTGGCCAACATGGTAAAACTTCATTTCTACAAAAAATACAAAAATTAGCTGGGCTTGGTGACATGTACCAGCCACTCGGGATGCTGAGGTGGGAGGATCACTTGAGTCCAGGAAGATGGAGGTTGCAGTGAGCCAAAATCATGCCACTACATTCCAGCCTGGGAGACCTTGTCTGAAAAAAAAAAAGTCCAGGTGTGGTGGCTCACGCCTGTAATCCCAGCACTTTGGGAGGCCGAGGTGCCGAGGTGGGCAGATCACAAGGTCAGGAGTTTGAGCCGTCCTGGCTAACATGGTGAAACCCTGTCTCTACTAAAAATACAAAAATTAGCCGGACACGGTGGTACGTGCATGGAGTCCCAGCTACTTGGGAGGCTGAGGCAGGAGAATCGCTTGAACTCAGGAGGTAGAGGTTGCAGTGAGCCGAGATCATGCCACTGCACTCCAACCTAGTGACAGAGCAAGACTCTGTCTCAAAAACAAAAAAAAAAGCTGAAGGTGACCTCAGAGATGGCCCTCATCACACAGATTGATAAACTGGAGGCCTGTGAGAAATTAGTCTCCTCTCTTCAGTCTATTAGGAGCAAAGCTAGGAATTGAACCTGGGATTCCTGATTCCCTGTCCTAGGCCTTTCCATTTCTTCACTTTGTCTGTCTTTGGAGCCTACTCTGCAGGGAAACTTTACTGAGACTGAGATGGTCCCTGTCTGCTTTTGAGTAGTAGCCACAGGTAAGAAAGCAGCTAGCCAGTAAATAATCCTGTGGGTGGCATAGACCAGAGTGCTGACAGCATTAGTTCTTCTGGCTTGGCTGGAGACCGAGTGGGGCACTGAAGCCCAGGAAAGGCCAGGCGCAATGGTTCATGCCTGTAGTCCCAGCCCTTTGGGAGGCCGAGGTGTGTGGATCATTTGAGATCAGGAGTTCGAGACCAGCCTGGCCAACATAGTGAAACCCCATCTCTACAAAAGTACAAAAATTAGCAGGGCAGTAGTGACACATGCCCATAATCCCAGCTACTCAGGAGGCTGAAGGAGGAGAATTGCTTAAGCCTGGGAGGTGGAGGTTGTGGTGAGTTGAGATCACACCACTGCACTCCAGTCTGGATGAGAGAGTGAGACCCTGTCTCGAAAAAAAGAAGCCCAGGAAGGGCCAGATGAGGAGAAAGACATGTTTTC